AACTGGTTTGGCTCAGTGGATAGAGCATCAGCCTGCAAACCAAAGGGTCCCAGGTTCGATTCCAGTCAAGGGCATGTACCTTGGTTGCGGGCACATCCCCAGTAGGGAGTGTGCAGGAGGCAGCTGATTGATGTTTCTCTCTCATCGATGTTTCTAACTCTCTATCCCCCTCCCTTCCTCTCTGTTAAAAATCAATAAAATATATTAAAAAAAAAAAAAAAAGAAATAAAGTTAAGCCATAGCCAGCTCAGTTGGTTGGAGAGTCGTCCCATATACCAAAAGGCTGTGGGTTTGATTCCCAGGTGAGAATTAAATAAATAAATAAATAAATAAATAAATATCTTAAAACTGAAAACAAACAAACAAAAAAGTGTACCAAACTAGACATAATGCCACTGGGAAGAGAATTCAAATGACTTTAGAACCCAGGACATAATATACATCCTTAGCAGGACATATTCAAAGCTCAAAATGAATTGCAAGGAAATCCTAAAATTCATTCAGTAGCTCTACCTTGTTAGTAATATTGGTATTGTAAAAAAAAAATAATAAAAAAGTGTTGTCAGAATAAGAAAAAATATCAATATGAACTAATGGTCACACATACACACCTTACTTTCTTAGCTTATTAATCCACGAAAAGGGGTGTAGGCTATCACAATAACACTAAGTACTACAGGCATCTAGATTTGGCCTCTATATATTATTTTCCACTAAAAGAAACCTCAGAGGAGTAGCTAATTCCAGGCTTAATAAAGAATGTTTATCGGGTAAGGCTGGCACTTCTTATTGTATCAGAAACAAGGAAGCTTTCAAAGACTAATGGGGTCCCTGTCAAAAGGATAAAGATAGAAACTACTTAAAGGGACTCCTACTGGCCAAAGTTGGGACAGTTTGACCATCAAAAAAACTACTGTTATGTTAGTAAAACACAATGAATTTATAAAAATCTCCAAGTCCATAAATTTACTCAAAATCCACAAAATCCTTCATTTTTCACCACATGAAGTTATTATATCCCTCTTTACTCTGAAAATTTATAATTAAAAGGAAAAGAATTAAGCTTTTACTCTTTCTAGTACAAACCATATCCAAAGGAACCAAATAGCAAAAGAAGAAAAAAAAGCCAGACAAAAAAAAGGGAAGATAAGTCACAATGAGAAAAATCACTATTCTGTAATATCTAATGAAATAATTAGGCAATGATCATCAGTGATACAAAACTATTGGGTGAGAAGCTGTCGTGAAATTGGATTATTTGCCAGAAGAAATATCTAATTTTATGAGAAGGATCAGGCTGTCTCAACTTTAACCCAGTGATCAATTTTAGCATCACTAATAATAGGACAGACATTACATGACTACTGATGTGATGTGAAGCAATATGAAGCACACAGCATTACCTCTAAAGCAGCATTCGCCAACCTTTTGGACCTCATGGACCACCAGTGGTCTGCAGACCACCGGTGGGCAACCGCTGCTCTGAAGTATTGTAAAATGCATAATGTGTGTTATTTATCTTATTTTAGCAAAAAATAGATGAAGCAAATATGGCAAAATATTAACAACTGTGAGGTGTATGATTATTCATCATGCTATTGATAACTATGTGTTTTTGTTGTTGAATATTTGGAACAAGATCAGGAATCTTGTATTAATTTGTGTTTGTTTTTTTTTAAATAGAAAACACATTTAAATGATTCAAAAATCAAAACAATAAGAAGCACTTCCAACAGCATGGATGGAACTGGAAAGCATTATGCTAAGTGAAATAAGCCAGTCAGAGAAAGATAAATATCACATGATCTCACTCATTTATGGAATATAATGAACAACATATACTGATGAACAAAAGCAGATCCAGAGACAGAAAAGCATCGATAAGACTGTCAAACCACAGAGAGAATGTAGGGGAGGGTGGGAGTAGAGGGGGGAGATCAACCAAAGGACTTATATGCAAGCATATAGGCCTAACCAATGGACACAGACAACAGGGGGGTGAGGGCATGAGTGTTGGGGGGGATGGGGGTAATGTGGGGATAAGGACACATATGTAATAACTTAATAAAGAAATTAAAAAAATAAAATCCTCACTCAAGGATATGTTTTTATTGATTTTAGAGAGAGGGAGTGAGAGAGAGAGAAACATTGATCAGTTGCCACCATGTAAGTGTCCCAACTGGGGATCGAACCTGCAACCTGGATATGTGCTCTGAGTGAGAAATATCTTCTTACCTGGCTGACTTTAGATGTCTATGATCTATGAAGCATCACTTCGGCTATAACTTCAGGGATGAGAAGCATCAGTCAAAAGACCAAATAACAGGCCTCTGCGTCCACTTGTCACCCTTCCTTTGAGCTTGACATGGAATTGGGTGAAGGGAAATATATCCCAGACAGACCAGCAGGTGAGGAGCTTGCTCCTTGCAGATCATTTGCCTTTTCTTTCCCACAGCTGCCAACCTGTGCCAGGCTTTTCTTTCCTTTGCTTTCAGCTATTATTGTAGGGTCACCACGAATTTCCCCACTTTCATGCCTCCTCCAGCCAGTGCTTTTATAACCTGGGCAGCCAGACTTGTTCCTAAAGCATGGCTTCTAACTGGGCCACGTTAGTATCTTTTTCTCCTTTTTATCTTTACTATTATAGATTAAGATGTTTTAATAGGTGCTTGAAGAAAAAATATTTCTTATAATTAAATGACACATATGAGGGGTAGAAATGTGGGCAATTAAATATTCCTGGGGGAGGAGGGTAACTCTTTTTCTAAGAATCTTTTTTTCCTTATATTTTATGCCTTTATATTCCTATATACATTTCAAAATTATACTTCAAGAATCTTTTTTTCCTTATATTTTATGCCTTTATATTTCTATATACATTTCAAAATTATACTTCATATAGAAGCAAACGTAGCCTTTCTGCTGTTGTGGTTCAGCATTGCAGACTCTGAGTCTAATGTTTAAGTATCTGCTCTTTCCTTTGCTGGCAGGTGAGATGTCCCATCATGATGTTTTAGATGCTGCTTCCCAAGGAATAAATGTCATCCTCTGTGAACACAGCAACACTGAACGAGGCTTTCTTTCCGATCTTCAAGATGCGCTGAGTGTTCACTTGGAGAATAAGATTAATATTATCCTGTCAGAAGCAGACAGGGACCCTCTTCAGGTAGTGTGATGCATACGGCACACAGTGACATCTACTTTACAAATCGTTTCCCTCCTCCTCAAACGCACATGATCAGTGGAGTCTGTATCCTTCTGGAAGAATGTTTAGAATGTACATTGTCATTTCTGGTTTGTTAATCTGCTTCACCAAATGTTCTATAGTTTTTAGGGTAAACACTGTAATGTAACTATTATTAAAGAACAGATATTTAGCCCTGGCTGGGTGGCTTAGTTTTGAGGAACTTCAATATGTTTTTACTGAAAAAAACAATACTATAAATAAAAGTGATTCTATCCAAATTGGAATTTTATTAATAATAAAGACTGTTGACATATTCTTCTTGCAAATAGTATAGGCACAAAAATTATAAAAATAAAGTAGTGGATATTTAAGGGCAAATGTAAAGTTTACACATTAGATCATTAAAGATTTTGTGTATTTTTTATACTGCAAGTTATAAACTAGATATGTTAATTTAAAAAAAGTGCAAGCCAGTAAGTATATGCTATCATTTCTGTTTTTAAAAGGAAAATAGACAAAAACCCTTATCTGTGCATAGACTACCTCTGGAAGGTTAGGCTATCAATGGTTGCCTAAGGCAGTGGTCGGCAAACTGAGGCTCGTGAGCTACATGTGGCTCTTTGGCCCCTTGAGTGTGGCTCTTCCACAAAATACCGACTTCTACGCATGGGCCACAAAGTTTCAATCACACTGTATGTGCGCGCCCGCACGTGGTATTTTGTGGAAGAGCCACACTCAAGGGGCCAAAGAGCCGCATGTGGCTGGCGAGCCGCAGTTTGCCGACCACTGGCCTAAGGAATTGGATCAAGGAATAGAAAAAAAACTGCTTTTCATTAGCCTTTGGTACAATTAAAAGTGTTAGCCCTAACCGATTTGGCTCAGTGGATAGAGCATCGGCCTGCGGACTCAAGGGTCCCAGGTTCCATTCCGGTCAAGGGCATGTACCTTGGCTGCGGGCACATCCCCAGTAGGGGGCGTGCAGGAGGCAGCTGATTAATGTTTCTCACTCATGGATGTTTCTAACTCTCTATCCCTCTCCCTTCCTCTCTGTAAAAAATCAATAAAATATATATATTAAAAAAAAAGTTTGAGTCAGTAATGTACAAATTCTTAAATATTTTAATAGTAATTGTCTTTAAGATTAAACCCTTAATTGATGGATTTAATATAAAATTGAATAATTATATGCCACAAAGAAATGATTTAAAAATTCTGAGCATTTTGGGAAATATTTTCACAAAAGGCATTTACAAAATAAGAAATGAGTAAAAAATGCTGATGTGATATATACTTTATTACAGTGATATTAATGATGATTTTCATTTCCAAGTATGAAATATTTCAGGGAATATGTGAAAACTATAAGCTGAGTACAGTGACCACGGTTAGCCTTTTTTTCTTAAGAAAAAGGCTCGTGTAAATATTTAGAAGGCTTGAAATTGTCACTAAGAAAAAGACTGAAATGCCTTACAGTGAGTTTTAGATGTACTTGATAGAGAAATCAATTAATTTAAAGCCAGCCCGGCCCGTGTGGCTCTGGTTGAGCATCGACCTATGAACCAGGAGGTCCTAGTTTGATTCCCAGTCAGGGCACATGCCTGGGTGTGGGCTCGATCCAGGGGCATGTGCGGCATTTGGGAGGCAGCCAATCCATGATTCTCTCGCATTACTGATGTTTCTATTTCTCTCTCCCTCTCCCTTCTTCTCTGAAACCAATAAAAAATATTTAAAATTTAATCTAAAGCCAGCTATTAAAATGCTACTCACCTGCATGTTATTCAAGAAAAGAAATAGATCAATATACAAGAATACTTAAATTTTTATTTTCTGTTGTCTTGAAGATAGTGACTAAAAAATTCAAAAGTATTTCTCTAGCCTGGCTTCTCACTTGTATCATGAAGGTGATGGCACAAACATTAAGTGTTTCATATTTTTCATGTGCTTTCTAGGCTGGGTATACACCCTATATACTTGTTATGCTTTTCCCACTATCCCAACTGAATAGTGTCATGCACCCCCCGCCTCCACCCAGTATGTAGTTTAAATCCTAAAGGAGAAAGCTGGATCGCCTAGTTTTCCCCAATTTTATTCCTTTCGTTAAGCCAGCTCAGAAACAGTAAGTCTTCTCCATTTCACTTATCAGCTCTGACACAGAGCAGATCTGTGTGATGCCAATGTCTTTGTACTTCTGCACGCTGGAACAAGCAGCCCCAGGAGTGTTAAAAGGCCCTCAAAGAATCAGGAGTAGTATCACCTCTAATATAAAAGAATTAAAAACATCTAGTTCCAAATAGTCCCTGAGCACACTATTCACTCCAGCAAGAATCTCCAGAGAGGTAATGAATGAAAGGCACAGTTTCTCCAACTTGAGGACCACTGAATAGCATAGTACTAGAGCTGGTAATTAACTAGCCAGGCTAATCAAGGGTCTAATTCATGACATCCCCCTCCCACTTTTAAATCTTGTACAATGGAAAGAGTCTGGTGCTGGATGTAAACACAGTTTAGACTGCAGGAGAGGCAGCCGGAGTACAACCTTCCACAGAATATTCAGGAGTAAAGGAGAGCTTCAGGACTCCTCTTCCTCCTTTTCCAGGAACTCCGACAACGTCCCATTGTCAATAGGAATGAGTAAGTATTCCACTCCATCAGTTCCCTAAAAGACGTAAGAATACCCTGGATGTTAGTCATTTGTAAGATAAATTTAAATCCTATCGTAGGTTAAAAAATGGATTTAATATTTTATATAAATTTAGCAGTATAAAAGTTAAGGGGAAAGGGCACACAGACACACACACACACACACATATTTAAAATACACTGAGTTTTTAGTTAAGCCACTTTCTAGTGGAAAAGAAGTCTAGCGGGTAAGTGGATTATTTTCTTCATCCTCCTTTATAGAATCTTATACTATTGATTTTTTTGTGCTTTAATTTCCCTTTCAACTGGATCCATTCCATTGGTTTTAAAATACATTTAGTATCTCCCATTATTAAGTAACCTCATTCTCTTCCATCTATCACCCAGCCTCGGCACCTTTTCAGAGAGTTGTCTAACAATGGTGGTCTCCATTTCCTCACCTCTCCCTCAACCCAGTCCAACCGAGCTACTGCCACTATTATGTCACCAAAAGAGCTTTTGTTTAGATCGGTGATTTTCAACCTTTTTTATCTCATGGCACACATAAACTACTAAAATTCTGTGACACACCCAAAAACATTTTTTTGCCAATCTTACAAAAATAGGTATAATTTTGATTCATTCACTGGATAGCTATTGTATTGGCTGTCGTCACTATTTTATTTGACAATCTAAGGGAAAATAGATCAGTGCCCCTAACTAAACAGTCAGGTGTTACATGTTTTAAACATTCTTGCGGCACGCAGTGTGCCGTGACACACTGGCTGAAAATTGCTGGCTTATACCAAGGGATTCCATATTCCTAAACCTAATCATCTGTTTAGTCCTCCTCTACTGGCCGCTCAGCAGCACCTGACTGTACTTCCACACTGAACAAGCGTATTTGCAAACAACTGGCTCCAGGAGCGTTAAAAGGCCCATTCTGCAGACCGTTCTTTTTTTCTTAAAACATGCTTTTCTTGGCTTCTGTAACATCATGTCCTGGTTTTCTTCCTCACTCTGGCTGTTTCTCTCACCTTGTAGGCTTATCTTTTACTTGGCCATTAACTGTCACACTTCTAGGCTTAGTTCCTGGCCCTCTAATCTCACTACCTTATCTCTGTACAGAGCTCAAATGGCCCACTGCCTAAATGGATCCTTGACCACCATAGAGCCTCAGTTCCACAATTGGATCTCGGTCAGAGGCACCCTTGTCCTTAAGTAAACAAGCAATGCTCTTCCTGGAATATAAAGCTGTAACAGCAAAGTCTCACCTTCTTGGTTCTTATAAGCTTGTGGTCCCTAAATTCAGTTAACTGGGCCCGAAGTGTCAGATCACTATTGACAAGGAATGCCTCCCGACACTGCTGGTAAAAATCTTGAAAAGCAAGTCCTGGAGAGTTGAAAAGCAGATGTGAACATAAGTCAACATTTTGGATAAAGCCCCATATACAGATACCCACATCAAAGAGCACAGATAAAGTGCTGTGGCCAGAGTATTGCAAAGCAGTCATTAAGTGTTGATTTAAAACCAAGGTAAGTGCCTCTGGAAGAAGCAAAACTAGAGAATACTGTGGCTTATATTTTTTAAACAAAAATAATTGGTTGAAAATAGGCAACTGTGACCAAGTGTTGCATAACCCTACAGGCAGTTTTAAATAGTGTGAATAAAGTTGACTATTAAAGAGGGAACTAACAAGTAAGTCATGAGAGCTGAACGATTATTAAAATGTTTAACACATTATTTTTTCTCAAAGGGAAGAAAATCTCCCAAGATGCCCAATGTATGAAATGTATGTAATTGGTAGACACACATCCATAGTTAGCACACGAAATTTAAAAAGCAAGCGGGGTTTGCCTCTCAATAGGGTTGTGAGGATATTTACTATGTGGCAGACAACAGGATCACAGAGCAAACCATTTATTCACTGCTGTGAAAAACTGCAGTGCTATTAGAGTCCAGAAAAAGGAATTTATGGGGTGAAACAAAAGTGA